ATCAGCAACACATTTGACATACAGACCATCCCACAGCACTTCCCCTTTTTTTTTCTTAAAAAAGAAGGTTTTAACCATTACACATCTCTAAAGTCAGCTTGGTATATTTGGGAATTTGGGCGTAGCTTGTCTTACTACTTCCTGTTGGAGGGGGGCGCTGTATCTTCTGGGGAAACAAAGAAAATTTTAGGATCATGGAGTAGTCCGTGAGGCTGTATCGTCTGAGCCAGTTGCCTTGAAACCATTTTGGATGTTGGATCATCTGGGCCTTGGTGTCACCTTTTAGGGGGTCTTGGCTGGTCAAACCTGATGTATCTTAATTTGGAACAAATCCATAGCCTCTGGCTTTCTGTGGGAACAAAAGCAGAGCCTCCTTTCCAAAGCAACACATCCTTACATCTAAATTTTAAAGTCAAGGTACCTTTAAAATATACATTTTGGCATAACTCAACAGCTTTTGTAATCAAATTTTTTTTTCAGTTACAAATATCAAAGAGAACATAATCCAGATTCTCTGTGTGGTAGCCATCTTTACGTGGCTTATTTTTTTATATTAGCTTGAGCCTATTGTTTTAAACTGCAGCCTTTTAAGCCTGAAATGGCACTGGCGCTGCTGGCTCTGCCCACTTTAGCTTCCCAACATGGCGGTGATACGTTTTCCGTCAGCTCTGGGAGCCATCAACTCTCAGAAATAGTGGGTCTATGTTTCTATTAAAGCAGCGTGTAGCCCAGAAACCTATTTTTTTGTTTTGTACTAGTAAAGGCTAAATCCACCACACAGCTTAATGTGCCACTTGCAGAGGCCTCATTCCCACCATACTGCAGGTCGAGCATGTACGCACGCTAGGAACCCGCCAGTAGCTCAAACCAGCAGGCTGCCACTAACTTGAAAGAGACAACTAGGAACTGTTTTTAGCTCCGTTTTAGAATCTTTTTTTTTTTTTTAGTTTTTAGGTGGAAACTCTTGCCCCACGTTGGGCGCCATTTGTAGCTAGAGTTTTCCTGCCTGGCCCACAGTCAGGACAAATCTCTCTCACCTGCCAGTCCCAAGCCGCTCAAACCGATCAAGTAAACACAGAGACTTATATTGGTTACAAACTGTATGGCTGTGGCAGGCTTCTTGCTAACTGTTCTTACAGCTTAAATTAATCCATTTCCATTAATCTATACCTTGCCACATGGCTCATGGCTTACCGGCATCTTTACATGCAGCTTGTCATCATGGCGGCTGGCAGTGTCTCTCTGACTCAGCCTTCCACTTCCCAGTTTTTTCTCCTCCTTGTCCCACCTATACTTCCTGCCTGGCCACTGACCAATCAGTGATTTATTTATTGACCAATCAGCAACACATTTGACATACAGACCATCCCACAGCAAGTTGCATTTTTCAAAATGTTATGTATAGAGGGGTGTTTTGCCTTCACGTCTGTGTACCGTGTTTATGCAGTGCCCATGGGGGACAAAAGAGGGTGTTAGATCCTCTGAGAATGGAGTTAAAGATAGTCATGAAATGCAATGTAGATGCTGGGACTTGAACTCAGATCCTCTGCAAGAGAAGCCAGGGCTCTTAGCTTCTGAGCTATCTCTACATCTCCATAATTTTTCTTAAAACTGGCTCACTTGTAACATGGAATTCTGTTGTCAGTGTCCTCTGAAATTCTCATTAGCTAATTTAATTTCTCTAGATATGTTTTTGTTGTTGCTGCTGGTTTTCTTTTTGTTGTTGTTGTTTGAGAAAGGGTTTTACTATGTAGCCTTTGCTGTCCTGGAACTCACTATGTAGCCCAAGCTGGTTTCAAACATATAGTGTACAGTAATCCTCCTTCCTCTCCCTCCTGAGTAGTCACATTGTAGACATGTACCACCATGTCCAGCTGAACGAGCTGTTTTCATAATGCTCAACTGTTTATGCTCAGGAGACAGGAGGTATGACAGGGTATATCTATTCTTTGAGCACTAGCTTCAGAGATTAGTGGAAAATGCTTTCAGTAAGGAGACTAAGTTTTACTGATGCTATTTCATGATCAGGTAAGAACATCACCCAATTTCTTTTTGCTGGTAAGATTTTTGTCAACTTGACACAAGCACTAGGATCATCTGGGATAAGGGAACCTCAACTGAGAAAACTGACCAGATTGGACTGCGGGCAAGTGTGTGGGGAACTTTCTTGATTTATGATTGATGTGGAAGGCCCAGCCCATTGTGGACAGTGCCACCCCTTGGCAAGTAGTGCTATTTGTATAAGAAAGCAGACTGAGCAAGCCATGGTGGCAAGCCAGTAATCAATATTCCTCTACAGTTTCTGCTTCAGTTGTTGCCTCCAGGTTCCTGACTTGAATTCCCTCCAATGGTTGACTACAAATGCTAGGCTAAAATAAACCCTTTTTTTCCAAAGTGCTTTTGGTCATGGTGCTTTATCACAGAAAGCAAACTAAGATATTCTTCTTCCCTCATTCTAATAGGCTTGACATTTCAGAGTGCTAAAATGCTATCTCCCACAGCAGCAACAACAGTCCAAATACTTCTCATTTAGATTCAGTTCAAATTTACACAGAAGCCACACATTTCAGACACTCTCAGCTCACCAGTAGGAAAAATACCCAACAACTGGCAATTCATCATTTCTTCAGAAATCTATTTTTAAAATACATTGCTACTTCTACTTTTATGCTTACTTAAATCAATATTCTTTAAAATACCAGGTAAAACTACATGTCCCTACAAAATGTTTTAGCACTTTGAACCACACTGTGTAGGAAACTGAAATAGTACAAACAAAGGGAGAGCACTTGAGATAAAGATTCATTAATAGTTCACCAATTCATATATTAAACTAATCTCTAGTAGGGACTGAGGTAGGGATATTTCTATGCTTGTTTTTATGTCTAGTACTAGAAATAGAGATGAATTATATGGCATTTCCTCCCTTAAAGACCTTAAACTGAAATGGGAGAAAAAACATGTAGAGAGACAAGTAGACACACAGAAGGAGAGGTAGCCTTAAGGGAAGTAAAAGGGTGTCCAGGTAACATCAGAATGTTTAAGAATAAGTATGAATCAGTCAGAAGCAGGTTACAGAAATATCTCAGGCAACAAGGTATGAGAAAGAGTACAAATAAAAGAAGTAAGGTAATTGTTTTTGGAAGCAGGTACTGACGTGCATAGATAACAGTAGGTCAGTAGTGGAGGACAAGCATGAAGAGGAAAAGAAAAAGAGAGAGCTGTGGTGTTTAGATTTCACCCTTAGAAGTTGGAAAAACAGTGAAGAAATTCAAGTTAGACAGGACATGGAAATAATTGTGTTTTGAATGAAACATTCCAGTAATTGAATTGAGAGTGCATTCATGGAGACAAAACCAGTGGGAAGGAAAGTATTTAGAAGGCTATGGCTCTGTGTCTTCAAGTTTCTTAAGCACAAATCATTGATAGGTCTTGTTAAGTAAATTATGACTAAGCAGCTCTATAAGCAGGGCTGAATAAGCTCTCAAATGATACCAATAATGCCGGTCCATACCTCACAGTCTGACTAACAAAGCTCTAGGAATATGTAAAGACCTATAGCAGTGCAGGAAGAGAAGGGATGGAGTTAAGAAGACAGTAATAATTCATGAGATAAAACAAGCACAACTTGGCATTTCATTTTAGAAACTTATAATGGTGTGGTATTGGGGCGTTGACAGTTAACTTTAGGTTTTTACTTGGAAGAGTATTGATTTAAAATGGCTTTGAGGTGTCCAAGTGCAGTAATAGCTCCCATTTTGATGTGTAGTCTAAAGTTTGATGGACAGGTTATGAGAATACAGATGACAGGTAAAATCAAGGGAATACAAAGAATTGTGCTTGTAGAGTCAGGGCAATAATGGAAACCTGGGAGCACCTAAATCTAGGCAATGAACTGACGAAGAACTGATATAGAAAGCAAATAAACAGAAACAAAGAAGAACCAGACCACGAGGAGTTGTGCAAGGAAAGAACAGAATTTTACGAAGACAAGAGTAATGAATATTTTCACATGGAACATAAAGTCTATCTGATAAGAACAAGTGAAATACAATGAGTTGAAGAAACGAAGGTGTAAGAGAGAATAATGAAAGGGCAATAAGATACACTAGTAGTGAGAAGGTGCTTGTATGTGGTGGGGATGAAAAAATAGAAGAACAGATATATTTCTCCAGTCAAGGCCAGTCTCTATGTTGTACCTGAAAATTTGCTACCCTTTCTTAGCTCTAAACCATCTGGTCATTTTTGAACCTTTCTACTTCTATCAGTCAAAATCATAGAAATCTATGGACCATGATGTTTCATTTCCTTTGTTAGCAAAATGTGTGCACAAAATATATACCCGTAGTCTTCTGCAATGAGGTATTGTTAACTAGTCCACATAATTTCCTCTTTAGGGAAAATGGTTTATTGCTATTTACACTACCGAGAATGACTAATTTAGCACTCCAAATGAATATTGTTGTATCATACTAATTTGAAATAATTCCTTAAAATAACATGGAAATACACACACACACACACACACACACACACACACACACACACACACACACACACACAAACACACACACACACTCTCTCTCTCTCACACACATATGATTTTAACATTAAGAGACATAAAAGACTTTCTGGCTCTCATGTCCTAGAAAAACAAATCAAAATATATGGCCTTGATTGCTTGAATGCTACCAGTTCTTGAATCAATAAAAAGAAAGTGGTTTATTAGTAAACTGGTATGTTTTATAAACTACAAACTTCCTGTGAAAGAGTATAGAATACTTTTCCTGATTGTCATTTGTATTGGATTTGCTGGGAGACATTTCTCTGCTATTTAGCTAGAAATGTTCTCCTAGCTTCATTTCTTTTTGCTCCTAATACAATGTTGTGGAGCATTAGCAGATTATTAAAAGAAGCAGGAAAGAACTTCCACTGTCTGCTTGGATTACCCAGATCCAAAGTGCTAGAGGAAAAAGGAAGAGTTTTGTCTTTATTCCTACCTGGAGGAGGCTTCACAATAACAGACTTTAGGAAGGTTGGTGCTGCTGAAGTAGTATTGGGTTTATCTGCAGAAATAATTGTAATGACAAATTAGCAACGTGTGATCAGACAGTAGAACTGCACCCATTGTAAAGTACTAAAGAAATTCTCTAAAAATGTACTATCATTCTACATTTTCAGCACAGGGCTTCTGGATAAAGGAAATTAAGTTGTGAAGGCTCTTCTGTGAGACAAATGTGAATATCAGTCTGTTACCTAGTTTGTACACTAAAGGCATGGGAAGGAAGGAATATTTTACATCCAGTATTGTTCGACCATTTTCATTTAAGGAAATAATAGAAGCATGGGAGCCATTTCAAGATTATTCTTTTGCAATTCAAAGGGTAAATTAGATGGCATGAACTTCTAGGTTGATATTTTTCTTGAACAACGTATCTAGTCTGTCTTGATTTGTGATGTTTACACCAGAATGAACTCTCAGCAGTTAATAACTTGAAACTATATGTTTTATTGTATGTGTCTTTCAATTACTCTCCTCCTTGAAGCAAAAAAATGAATTTGGGAACTGTAGGTAAGATATTTACAAAATAGTTTCTCTTGTAAGGCACAATGACTCTGTCCCTCTTTAAATCAACGGATAGGGAAACAAGTATATGACAATTTGAGAGACTAGAATAAATATAAAAATTATTATAGTTTAGCTTATTAGAAATAATAAATTCTAATAATATGCTGAGGTAATGACTTTGCTCTGGACAATACCTATATGATGTACTGGACATGAATGCTGATGAATTGTTTTTTAGGAATGAATGCCTTAGTGACATAGTGTTAAAGCTCCTAAGAATCCACAAATTATTTATTCCAGCTGATCAATCATCATTTTTGTGGAAGCATGTGAATTTTTCAAAATGTGAGCTGTTTTCCAAAATGCACTCTGCCAGTTCAGGTAATTCAGTAGAAGGTCTTTCATTTGTTCATTTGACTATTACTAGAAGGAAGAGGCAATGTTCTATAACGCTCTGTACCTTTGGGATTTAGCATACTGTAATTATTCTCTGGTAATTCATATTTATAGAAATAAAATAATGGATCATCAGGGTTGTAGGAGACTCAGCAATTTAGTTTGTTTTTTACAGCTTTGGTCATAAGCATACTATATAGAATATGCAGTACAGTATATAACTATACTATAGTGAAGACATTGATCTGAATAGATAAGTGAGATGAAGTTTGAGAAAGTCGTACACCAAAAATTATGGCAAGGGGGGAAATATAGTAAAAAAATCCAAGATTTTTGATTTCTCTAGCTGCTTTTTGCTATTTATAGCTTATAGCAGTCACTTGCTTTATGTGGATTTAGTAACCTAAATAGTGGCCATAATATTTCTTAAAATTTAGGTAACAGTTATCTCCATAGACAAGGACACAAAAAGTGATTTACTAAGCAGAAGAGCAATCAAGTTGTTTGAACTGTAGTAAAAGTTTGCTCCCCAAAAGAGATACTACAGTGTGGGGAAAATATATATTATGTATTGGAGACAAAGAGATGAACAGAATCTTACCCATCTTTGGTCGACATCCTGATGGAGATACTCTGTCATGTTCTTCCAGTAATTGCTTCTGATTTTGTGGATGGCTCTTTCCCACATAGTGAGATTGAGCAACAGCTGAGGAGTCAAAACTCATGTTGCAGAAACCACTAAATTCGTTTCTGTTGACTTCTCCAATTCTGTACACCTGTAAAAAGCACAATCAATTCTTTTTATTTTGGAAAGATTAAAAAACTTACAGTTCAGAATTATAACATTCAACATAGACAACTCACCTGAGAATTCTCAACATGCATGCTCATTTTTCTACCAGGCACTTTGTTTTGTTCCCCATGCACTTGAAAATAGAACTTAACATTCTGAGCATGTATTTCACTCTGAAAAAAAGATATGACTTTGTTTATTTAACAATAGACTCCCAAAATGTACACCTCTCTGAATGTGAGGTCAGGAGACATCAGTTTTAGTAGTCTTTTCATTAACTTTTTTTTCAATGTATTTATTAGTTTTATTCATTTTAACTAAAATAGAATTATAACACTCACCCCTTTCCATTTCTTCCATCCATACCCTCCCATGTCTCTTCCCACTCTCATGTTCATAGTCTATTTTATTTTTATTTTACATATATATATGTATTTTTATTTTATAATTTAATTTAATTTTACATATCAGCCAAGGATTCCCCTGTCCTCCCTCCTCCTGCCCTCCCTCCCACCCTCCCTTGCACAAGTACATAACAGCAATCTGCTGAAATTATTTATCTATTGCACATAACAGACGTGTGTTTAATGCAATTTACAGAATGGCACATATATAAACATCCATGTATGTTGATATACATTTCACCAGTGAAACCAATCAGGCCCTTTAAATGGGTGAGACAGTTGATTGGCTTGATCTGTTTGGGAGGCACTCAGGCAGTGGGACCGGGTCCTGTGCTCATTGCATGAGTTGGCTGTTTGAAACCTGGGGCCTATGCAGGATGGCTTGGCTCAGCCTGGGAGGAGGGGACTGGACCTACCTGGACTGAGTCTACCAGGTTGATCTCAGTCCGCAGGGGAGGCTTTGCCCTGGAGGAGGTGGGAATGGGGGGTGGGCTGGGGGGAAGGTGAGGGAGGCCGGAGTGGGGAGAACAAGGGAATCCGCGGCTGATATGTAGAACTGAATTGTATTGCAAATAAAAATAAAAAATTAAAAAAATTCTGATTAGGATACAGAATTGAATTTCAAGTCTCCAATAATGTATGACCTACAACTAAAAATCTTGATAAAAAGATTTAATTCGCCGGGCAGTGGTGGCGCACGCCTTTAGTTCCAGCACTTGGGAGGCAGAGCCAGGTGGAGGCCAGCCTGGTCTCCAAAGCGAGTTCCAGGAAAGGCACAAAACTACACAGAGAAACCCTGTCTCAAAAAACCAAAAAAAAAAAAAAAAAAAAAAAGATTTAATTCTCATTAACTTTTTTTTGAGGCCAGGGCCTTGAACAGGCTAGGCAAGTGACATACTTTTGAGCTACATCCTCAACCCATGACTTCAATAACTAGAAAGAATTTCACTCCTTTCAAATCTCTAAAGCTCAGTTAAAATGAAAATAAAATGATTCTACAACTTACAAATCAGTATTTTTATGTTTGTATTATCATGTTAGTTAAACATTATAATGGGCTTCATTATGGTATTTTCATGCATGTATATATTTTCATTATATTACCTATTATCTTTTCTTCTCCAGGGCCTGCTTATACCCTCTTCCCAACTCACTACCTCTTCTACTTTCATGTCTTTTTATGTGTACCACAATGATCTTCATTAGGATTGCCTACATGAAGATTAGTAAAAGATATTTACAGGACTATGAGCACCTTATCAGTGACTACATCACTGCAGAAAATGTCTCCCTTTCCCAACAACCATCAATTGCCAATAGATGCACAGGGAGTGATGAGGCCTCATGATCTCCTGCCTCCTAGCACCTGTTAACTGTCAACGGATGAGTCTCTCCAACTTCAATGGCAGGATGCTGACAAGTCAAATCTGTAGTCTACATTTATTATAAAGGGAGACTCTAGGAGTTCTACAGTATCGCTCAAACTTGCTAATACCTACATTATATTCACTACAATAATAGAGAATACAAAGGGAGGCAGAATGTTGTGAAGGAAAGAAGAGAAACTTTGCAGTCAAAACCACTGAGTTTAATCTAGATTCCCTAAACTTAAATTTTTATGTGACTATCTTTTTCTGAGCCAATATTCTTGTCTGTGAAATAGAAATGTTACCATGTTTCAGGTTCTTAAATTAATCAAGTAAGATGACTTATATGAAGTTGAATTGCTACACTTAAAATATGATTTCTCATCCTTATTCCCACTGCATTTAACCAACCTCATAATGTGAAATCCTTTCTGATTCAAGCTGCAGTACCACTCCACATGCTTGACAAAAATCATCTGTAAAATATGCAGGTCTTTCTTGTCCATCACAGGTGGCATCTATCAATAAAGTAAAGAAAAAAATCTATCAGATCAATGAAATTTGAATTAATTAAATTTTAATGTTTGGGAGTATGTAGTAGCAGCCTTTTCCTCTAATATGTTATTTAATGTGCAATATGTGTGTGCATGTATATACACACATACACACACATACATATTTAATATATAATATGGCAATAGTTACCAATTTAGAATGGTAAGTCCAGGCAATAACATTGTAAAGGAATAGTTAAATGGATATAGGTAACTTCATGAACTTTATAGAACAATTTAAGGAATCAGTAATGAAAGGCTGAATTAAAAAAATAGCCTTGATATTTTGTTTTACAGAAGACAATCCTAAGAAATGTAAGACAATCCCTAAGGTACGTAAGACTGTCATATACTTTGAGATATGGCTCCAGTGTTATTTAAAAATCACAACTATATATGATAGGCAAATCTCTCCCAACACCACAAAAAATACCAGGGCACTTATTTGTATACACAGATCTCACATAAGTCTTCCTCCAAATATATAAAGTAATGTTCAAGTACTATAATCAAGAAGTTTATGCTGTAGTGCCTGCGTCTGTAATAAATAGCACATATAAAATAGTTTTATATCTACACTTTGGGTCCACACCTATATCTAATGTCCTACACAGCTTCAGTGTATTCTGCTGCCAATGTTTATTAGTTTATCTATAGGTTATTAATCAAAATAATCATACTTTTGCTTATTATTTGGCTATTTAAATGAGTAACTCTGTATTACACACACTTTCATGGATGATATACTGAATAAATAAAAGTTTTACTAAAATACAATATACTCCATTTCTAACAATGATAGCATGAAATATACATACATATACACATAGAAAGTTACAGAATGATTTAAACTAAATTTAAATGTATTTATCTCTGGAAAGTGGGGCAGACAAGAGAAGTCGTCTTAACATTTTATTTACTATAATTCTTGTCTTGTAAAAACCATGTCGGGATTTCTATATATGGTTAGGATAGATACCAGCAAAACGGTAGGACCTCAATTCAAATAATTATCCATTCACAAAATACCTTTGCAGAAGTTAAGGAAATCAGGCTGTAGATTATATTACCTGGGTGTATTTCAGAAATAAAATCTATTGAATAGCATAAGATGGAAACTTTCATTTACCTAGATCATTCCTTCTCTAATCCTAGGTGGGACAGAATGAAGAAAGATACTTTGTGTGTGAGGAAGAAGCAGGTAATGAAAATCATGTTTTACTTTGAACCCTAATAGTGGGCACATGTTGTTAAAACTTAGCACCTAGCAGGCACCCAAAAGCTCCAGACTAATCAGGCAGGTGGCTCCAGATTGAGCTTCTAAGCCAGCTCTGGGAACTCTCTGGATCCTGCCGTCTCAGGCTCCAGGGCAGTGCAATAGTTTCAGTTTCCAGGCTGCTGTAATGTCTGGCCAACCTCCTCTTAGCATCAGACTGACCTCAAACACCAGACTGACCTCAACAGCCTTGAGTTTCAGGCTAGCCTGACAATCAGGCTGATTCCTGTAAGTCCTGCTCCATCAGGCCAGCTCACATAGACCCCAACCTCTTAAGCAAGTTATTGTGGACACAAGCTCCAGGCTTATACTTGCAGACAGAACCTTTAGCTTGCCACAGTGCCAACTAGAACATTATTCCTTTAGGTTAATACCTGCAGCATCACCCTCCATGCTAGAACCTGCAGTCCCATGCTCTAGAAGACTAGTGTTCAGGTCTGTCCCACTAGATCTTAGAGCTGGACACCTTCCCACATACCCAGGTTCCAGCATTACTCTTGTGTAATGAGTTCCCAGGCTGGCTCCTGGAGCTCCATGAGCTATACTAAGCCCTTATACACCTAGTCAGTCCCCAGGAACTGAAGTTCCCAGATTTCAGAATGCTCAGCACAGGTACAAGATCCAGGACCATCCTTGTAGACTCAGACTCTAGGCCCATCTCTAAATGACTGTTAAGTAAGTCTACCACACCGGATTCAGATTTCAGGGTTAATCCTGAGAACATGGGCAAGCCCATTTGCTGACCTAAGCAAGAAAGTGCACAAGGACACTAGCAGTGAGCCTGTAAAGGATCACATCATGTGGCTTGTCAGAAAGTTCTGGACAGGTAATCCCTTGATGGCAAAATAATATTACTACTGATGGAAAATTTCTTGAAGAGGAAACTGTCTCCTCATCTGGGAGCCCCTCCCACTCTTGGGAGTTCTTTTTCCTTAATAAATCTATGGTTACTTTACTGTATTTTTTCCCCTTCCGAATCGTACTGTTAAGACTTACTGTCTTCAACTTATTTTCTCAAATAAAGTTTGGTCTATTTTTGTTTATCAAATGGCACAATATACCTGGGTTCAAAATCTCAGCCATTCTCTTCACTTAATCACTGATTCCTAACAATTCTGACTTGTAATATCCTTTCCTATCTACTTTTTCCTTTGAATTCCACATAACAATACTTTAGTTCACGCCCTCCATATATTCCAACATGATTTAGCTTTACTGATACTATTATGTTACATATTCTGGAAGGAAGTAGACAAAAATGAAGATAATTGCGGATCTTTTCATGGTAAACCCTTAGACCTTAACACAAATGTATACAGTAAATAGCACTTTGTACATTCTGAGTTAGGAAAGTGGGAACAAGTGAAATTGAAATAAAGTGCCATGTTTTCTTTGGTGGAGTGGGTACATAAACCTTTGTTTTACTTTGACTCTTTCCATTATATATACACAACTGTTATACATGTTGGAAATGACCAATCCCTAACTCCAAGGAGAGTAAAATTGAATAAGAAAGATAAGATGTGTATGGAAAAACTATAATCCCCAGACCAAAATGTTTCAGGTGATAAAAGATGTAAGAGAGTACAGCACATTCTTTCTGAGGGAATTGGGATGAAAATTATACATAATAAGGTGTTGTCTAAGCTTTAAAATATATGTAAACAATGGAATCTCACTAAGCCATAAATAAAAATGAAATCACGACATTTGCAGGAAAATGGATGGACTGGAAATCATGCTAAGTGAAATAAGCAAGATTCTAAAAGACAAATAATGTATGTTTTCTGGAATATGTGGAACCCAGATTTAAAATTATATGTATGCATATAAACCTGTGTTTATATGTATGTGCATATGCATACATGTATATATGCAGATCATCAAGCTAGACAGGGGATTGTGAAAGGGAAGGAAGAGATCTTAAGGGGTGAGGGAAAAAGAGAGACAAGGAAGCAAAATGGGGATTACTTTGAAGGGTGGCAGAGAACCAACCATGGGAAGCACAGGCACAGAGGAGGGCAATGGGGAAGGGCGACAAATTAGAACAACGTATAATGATATATACAAGAAAATGCCAAAAGGAAATAAACACCTTATTTTGTGCATTAACTAAAAATATTAATACACAGTTTAAAAATTAATAAAAATAACAGAATCAAAGTATTTAAAGGAAGGCAAGAGAATAAATAATAATGGAAGGCTCAGAATGGAATCAAATAATGACAGGCTACTTTAGGCATTTGAATTTACATTAGAGAGAAATGAGTCACTCAACATGGGTATATCAACTAACAGTCAGTTGTAGGCTTGAAGCTTAAACCAGAAAAGTGGCCATAGATACATAAAGAAAAGGCCCATCTCTCAAAACCAAAGGGCATTAAAGGCTGAGCTTAGCTTTTGCTATCAATATGGTGGACATTTAGATCTATTGCATTTAAGCTTAGGTAATGCTGTTCCTAATAAGAGGTGGAGATTCAACCTTACCATCTACAATTATCGTCAGTGGCAAATTCTTTGTTATTATAGCATGAAAGTGTTGAAGTTCCAAGTTTAGAGTATAAAAAACTGAAATACATGAAATGAGAAATTATAGAAGATGAGTGGTGATTCACTCTTGAAGCATACTTAATATACCAACCCTTTGTTATAATCCCCAGAGAAATCTGCACATTCCTGTTAATTAGAGCACTAGTCACAATAGTCAAGGTATGGAAGTACTCGTGATGCCCATCAACAAATAAATGGATAATGAAAATATTTATACACAAGGGTTTCATTCATACATAAGAGTGAAATTATGTCAACTACAGGAAAATGAATGGGATATGCTAAGAAAATTATCTAGACTCTGACAAATAAGATATTTTTCTCCTATGCAGAATCTAGATTATGTCACATATCAAATTATTTATTAAAGACCCATGTTAAATCATTAATTTCCCCTCCATTTAATGTACAATTAAATTCAAATGCCCTAATGAATCCTATCATTATTTGGTTCCAATCTAAGTTTTCCATCATTATTTATACACTTGTCTTACTTGAAATACTTTTATTCCATAATTTTTAGTTAACATATGATATACTTAATTTTATTTGTATAGATATATGACATGAAAGTCAAAGGCTGAACATGTCAAGTGAGGAAGGGGTCTAAAAGGGAAATAAGGGAAGAGTAAAAGAGACTAACTTGGGAAAGAACTGCAAATATTAAATATATATTTGTCAGAAAGAAAGGGACAAAGAGAAAAAAGGAACTAAGTCAACGGAGGGTAAGAGGAGGTAAGCTTGAATAAATCACAATATGTTTGTATTAAAATGTCATAGATTATTTTGTATTCTAACTCAATAATACCAATATCAATAAAAAAGTCAAACAAAAGTATACTTAGGATTTACTTTAATTTTATCTAAGTAGCAAGTTGTCCTAATCAATTTAAATATTATTGAATCTCAAATTTTTGGAACTCATTATTATGTATAATTATTTTTATTCAGCGTTTCAGGGTTGGGGATGGGACTTATCTGGCAGAGTGTATCATATCCTGGGTTCAATCCCAAGCATTGCATAAATCGGGTATGGGGATAAACATCTATAATCCTAGTACTCAGGAACTAGAGGGATATTAAGAAATAGCACCAAAACCCACACCTAGAATTGATGATTCAATAGTTCCGGGGTGGG